TTTGGAGGAGGTTTGAAGGGGAAAAAACGATTTTAAAACAAGCAGGGACAGGTTTTTCAAAAGTTAGCTAGGTGTCCTTATACAGAACTCTCTTCTCTATCGGTGAAGACAAAAGCTTTTGATTTCATTCAGCCTATGCAAAGTTATAATTTTTCTCGTTGTGTCACACTTCATGTGGACCACCCTGTACAAATTCCACCGCTGCAACTGTAGGTTTACAACACCTTCCGAATCGCCAATTTGACCAAGCGAACTTTCCTTGTTATATAGATTAGCGAAGGGTACTACCTTTTATGAATATCGGAAGGTTGACATGTTTTTGAAAACAACGCATAATGTGTGAACATGACGCTTTTAGGCGCTAGACCACACCAGAAATTATAGCAGGTAATGCTTGTATGGTCTGCAAGATTACGTAAACAACTCATTTTGAAAGGTGGGTTTTTTGGTGATTTTGTAGAGGTGTACGGTAAAAGATGAAGATAAAGGGGATATGCTGAAACTTCGAAAAGAAGGTTATTTTGTATGCTGTTCACTACCGTATCCACGCTTAGCAATAATAACTACTGTTGTGCTTTGCTGAGGGCATGACATCTACCGGTTTCGCATCTTTTTTCGTCACCTTATTCCATTAGCACTTCTTCATTTTAGACGAGTGGCTCTTAATCACGACAGGCTCCTCATCTCCTGATACGACCCCCCCCCCTGGAAGGAACCCTACGCTTGACCTTGGTAATACATAGGACAAGTATATTATTAATAAGAATAAATCTTTGCATTTAACGGTCACCTGATAACTCGGGTTTATTTTCAGTAACGAAAAATTGGCATATCAACTTCTTCAATAGTCTTTTCGCATTGAGCAGAAAAACCAGTGTTACCTTTGGATCTCGGCACAGATGGCTTATAAGCAAGCTGGTTATTATTTTTGGGACAAAAAACAAAGAGAATATCGTTTTTGTGGGGGATATCTTTGGTCCACTTTCGTCTTTTTAGTCGATCCGAATATTTCAAGGATCAAAGGTGACTTCGTAAAATTCTGCGAAAGTCAGGGGACTTCGTTTTTTGCATTTTCAGAAAGCCACTGTCGAGCCCTGGTTACCTTGCGCGTTCACATGATTTACGAGTACTTCATCTCGGTATACCAACCATTTTTTCGGTAGCACTTTTTGTACTCGTGCTGAAAAAAAAATCAAGATGTGAATATAATGAGAAACCGTCAAAAACGGTGAAGATAGAAGACACCTTTATAGCTACTACCTTTCTTAATTCGAGTAGCGTGAGCACGTATCATGAAAATCTTGATATTTATCGGTCAGAAATGTCTAAACTATCTATTATCTGTTCAATTTTTCTGGTGCATCCTCTACCATACTAATGTCATGCATGAAAAGAGCTGGAAAATGTTTTTTTTACAGAAGCACCGGAAGCACCACCAGGGCTCAGCACGAGGTGGTATATGATTAAAAAAAAGACAAAAACGAAGTCTCCCTTGACAAGCGGAACGAGATACCTTTTGTTGTGTTCGTTGTTGTAGAAGCTGTAAGAATATGCAGTGTAAAAAAAGGAATTAAAGTGAAGAAAATAAGAGAACAATTCAAACATTAAAAAGCGAAATGCGAAAAAAATACTGTTATTTTCAAGAACCGTAACAAAGCGTGGGGGACGAATCTTGGGTCAAGGTGAGCACTCATAGGTAAAGCTTGATCTAAAGAAATGTATTAAGTAAAATTTTTAAAATTTATGTGAGTATGGAGAGAACTGCGAAGATTCATGATTTTGTCTGGTTCCGCGCAACCTCAGGGTGCTTCCAGGTTGCGCGATAGCAACCTGAAATCAAAAAACACAACTCCTCTCGTTCAGATAATTTGTTAAGAATTTTTCGTACTCGACCATCGCCGCGAATGTACACACCAAATCTGGTGGCTCAACATTGCTTACTCGTTGTAAATAATCTAATTGTTGATATTTTTGTGCGTAAGGATTGTGTTTTGATACGTTGAAATCGTGTGCACATAGGTTTATGAACTGTCGTATTGGTAACGTGTCAATCAATTTACTGCAATTGGTGGAACTATGTTAGATCTTTTCGGGCTTGCTAAGAGTTAGAGTTGTGTTTTCTAATATTTCGGCAGGTTTCCGGATGGAAACTTGGTCCCCCTCCCCTTAAAAACTATATCCAGCGTGTAAAAGCGCCACCTCTGCTGAGCCCTGAGCACCACGTATCTAAAAACAATATGAGAGGAACAATATTAACTTTGTAATGCCTACAATATCTCAAAGCAGGAAGTCAAATGACAGAACAATTAACGTAAGTAAATTTCGAATGAGGAGTGAACTAAATACGCTGAACCCGATTTTTTCTGGTTGGAGAGGTCAGCGTAGAAGAACGATCGCAGTGTATTGTTCTAAAGTTATAAGTAAGTACTTCTTTTCTGAAGTATCAGAGGGTATCCGTGGTATCCGTGGTATCCGTGGTATTCGTGGTATCCGTGTATAGTTTTGAATTTCTAAGTAGTAAATTTTCTATCGAATTCTCTCCATGGAAGAAGTATCCAAGCTTGAGAGTATCACTTTTCCTCGCTTTGAGGGACGCAGAACAAAGCCTTCTGTACCGAATGTGTCAACCAAACTGAAATCACTCTGCTTACTTCGAAGCCTTTCACATGAGCCATACTTACTCCAAGGTTCATAAACCACTTTCGGCCTTCTTTTGTTCCACACAAATAGAAAGTAGACTGGTATACCAGACAAGACCATGATCAACCCCACGACCAGTTCACCCGGTTGAGAAAAAAAAGGTAGCACGAGTAATGCACAGCAGAGTAATAGGAATGTCACAGGTATCAGGATGTTGAACTGAAACAGAAAAATCAAGTTTAGCGGTACTAAAAGAGTAGTAAAATGTTTGTAGCTACGCTGATTTTGGTGCTACAATATTCTTCAAAGTTTCTTCACCTTTTACAAACTGGGTAAATCACCAAGCATTCCATCCATCTGCGTTTTTTGGTATGTTTGTTTTTCTGCATCAAACCGTTCGTGACGTTTTATCTACGGGGCAGGGGCTGCTGTATTAGTGAGGGCATATTATACAGGGCGTCCGTAAAGTATGTATACACTGTTTGATCGTTAATATCTTTCTTCCCAACAAGTCTTTTGCCTTGCTTCAGGTACCGTGTTGTAGAGCTGGCTTCAACTTAGAATTACAGTATAGAACGAATCACCCATCTTTCTTCATTACTGTAGGATTACGGTAGAAACTTGAAACATATGGTGTCAATGTGGAAAAAGCTGCCGTTTCAAAAATTTTCAAAAAAATGTGGAAACTTGTGTAATAGTGTTTTTATGGACGCTGAGTTCAATACTCATCTATTCACAAGATTGCGAAGCTTTCTAAACGGTGTGACCGCACTTTTTAGGGACAGTGAAAAAATGGCCGCTACCTCTCACCCAGCATAACTCTTCAATGAAGCATCATAATAAGTTGGCAACTTTACAGTTAGAATCAACAACTCTAATTAGCCTGATGTAAAATCTTTCAAGCTGTTTTATTCCGTTTCTGAGGCAAAATATGGCCTTTCATGGTTCAAAACCCTCTTTGAAGTATCTACCGTAATCCTACAGTAATGAAGAGAGATGGGTGATTCGTTCTATACTGCTAATCTAAGTTGAAGCCAGCTCTACAAAACGGTACCTGAAGCAAGGCGAAAGACTTCTTGGGAAGAGAGATATTAACGATCAAACAGTGTATACATACTCTACGGATACCCTGTATATCTAACGTCAACTTATACATTATAAAAAAGAAGAGTTTTTGTTTGTTTGTTCTCTTCCTTCCTTAGACGAAGCGAAGAATTTATACATTCTCCACGGAAGCTCTTACTAAGGAAAGAGGCTATAGATTCAAAGTATATTAGTAGGTTGTGAAATAATTTCTGCTAACTTACGTCTTTATACATATTCATTATAATCAACCTTCAACCAAAAATATACTCACTATGTGACCAACAACCTTTGTCCACCAGGAAGGCAAATCAGGATGCTTTTCTCCCGGGCTTCAGAAGTTCTCGATTCACAAAAGCAGGTGAATTTTGATTTCAGGTCGTTAAAGGCAGTGTCCGGGCAAAAACTCGATTTTGAGATTTTGTGCTTACCCAGGCCTATTCGCTACGCTGAATCCGAAAATCCACACTGGAAAGCGCGAAAACGGCGAAAAAGGGCTCTAACGCAGGAGGGAAATCAAAAGTGGGCATGGTCTTCCCCAGGGTGAATTTACAGTCCCAGCTCCCGGAGCGATCTTTTCGCTTCCGACTTCAGATCATGCATTCGCACTTGGTCGGTTGAGATGTCAGCGCGGTTAGTGGAATTGAAAAGATCGCTCCGAAAGCTGGGACCGTGAATTCACCTGAGGGAAGACCCCGCCCACTTTTGATTTCACTCCTGCGTTAGAGCCCTTTTTCGCCGTTTTCGCGCTTTCCAATGTGGATTTTCGGATTCAGCATAGCGAGTAGGTCCAAGTAAGCACAAAATCTCAAAATCGACTTTTTGGCCGGACACTGCCTTTAACACGTTGACGACAGCGTGCATTTTTAGCTATCTGCCTTGTGGGACAGTCCCAACTACAGTAAGTTGAGTATTTTCGGCTGAAATCAAACAGGACGTCATCTGCAGTATCCCTACAGTAATTTTGAGAAGCAATTAAAAATGCGGAAGTAGTTTCTAGGAATAAAGCATAATAGAATTTCTAAAACCACAGTCATTGCATGACCCACCATGTGGGTCACATTGTCGTCAATGTGTTAAAGTTGGCAAAGAATTTCTTGCTTAGATAAAGCTTTAGGTGGAACAATCTGTAAATATTTGGTGCTATATCTCGAATACAGCGCGTGTGGCACCATATCTCAATCAAGCTCTTCCAATTCATGCCTGGTCTCGTAGCACATATGCTCTGATACTGTCGTGAAGCAATTGCACAGTTTTTTCCTTAAAGTTTTCCTTGTTTAGCCTTCAGCCGACCTCTGCAGCCGATCAACGTATTTGGTGGGTGTGACTACTTCTCTGCCTAGAGGAACTATGAGAAGTTAAAGCTCCTCTTGCATCCCACTAGCAGCAGAGCAAGATCTTGTAAGGGCGTGATCTAGGCTGCGTCGGTGATTCTGCTCTACGCCGAAGCTAAACTTTTCCCAGTGTTAATCTCGTACAATATTCAACTTTTATCTCCTTTGACTAGATCTTAAAAGAACTCTTTTTTGTAGTGAAGAAAGAGTCACAAATGCTCATAAGGCACCTCTTGCTAGCTTCAATGAGATGGTGGCACCCGTCGAGCAAGAATTTCCCGGTAGCTAGGAGACTGATGGTGGATGCTACGGAGGTATGTGAGCGGTGTAGTGTCTGAGCTACCGCAGGAGTAGTAGCATACGAATCGGCTTTCATTGAATCAAGCGTCTTCTCTTCAGCCAAAAGCGAAAGCCGTCCAGACCTTGCTTATCCTTAGGCTTGTATTTTCAATCTCAAATCCACTGAACCAACGGTTAGCGTCCAAGGTACCGGGACTTTCCATGAATGCGCCATTGATGCTGCTTGTCGCTGTCTTTATTTCCTACGGCACTCGTATTAGATAGTGCCCTCAATTGTTCTTGCGACAAACATAAAATAAGAAATCAAGATCGAGCATAGTTATATTGTGTTAGCTCAAGTAACCTTCCAGAAGATCCAGTTGAGGCTGGGTCATACTTGGAACATGTTGAAATTGTAGATTTTCAAAATTGGCAAAACTTTTTCACAGCCTGATATATAATATAACCTGCAGTAGATAACTTACCTTCAAATTGGTGAGATTCATAAATTTTTAGATGAATACGATATATATCGATACAAGATGACTGCTTAAGTTGTGTTGCTCGAACGCAATTAGTACTTGCCTTGATTGGCGTCTTCGCGTTTGGTTGTGTGAACCGCATTTTGAGTAGGCCAGCAGTCGAAGTTGTAACGACAAGTCCTGTCGCAAAAGCGGTGTAGTTTATTAGTACGAATACATCACCAACAAACAGCATAGCAATCGAAGTGGCTGAACAGTCACGTTCTTACTCTGTTGTGGAACTGTACTTCACTTACTTCCTAAAAATATCAATGAGGGCAAAGGTGTGAGGTATATAATAGAGATCATTGACAACATTTCGGGTAAATGTCCCTCTCTAAAGACAACCAATGGTTTTTGCCAGCACCAAAAGAAACTTACCTGGCGCCCGCAAAAAACATCCTTGCTGAAGTAAACAACATGCCGTTCAAGCCTCCAAGGCAAGAGCAGGACACGAATAGCGGTACTACTGGCGCAAGAAAACCCATCACTTGCTTGGCAAACGACATTGCTACTGCATCCGATTCAAGAAACTGAATGACATTCAATTTCATTCCTAGTGCAAGAGCGGATTTGTTAGGCCTCCGCCAGAGTGCCGGTCACGTTAGCGCTGCGCCGGCGCCGAGCCAGCGCCGAGCTGTCCCGTTTGTTCGGGGCGGGGCTAGCTGACCTTGTGCGGGCAAGGGCTACCGGAGCTTCTGGAAGATTCGATCAATAGTCGGTGCATCTACCTGGCTGAAAACTAGGTCATCTAGCCCCTCCCCAAAGAAATGCACGTGTATCGATCGAAACAGCGCCGGGGCAGCTCGGCGCTGGCTCGGCGCCGGCGTAGCGCTGGCGTGGCTTCCGCACTCTGGCGGGAGCCTTAAAATGGACATTGAGCTTTGGTACTTTTCGAAAAACTATGACTGCGTTAGCTCACCTCATCGGTAGATAATACTGCAAAATAAGCTATGTTTACGAGCATGTAGATAAGTGTGATAGACGGCATCGATATGTAGATTGCTCGAGGTAGGTTTCTGGGTAAAATATGAAATATCATCTGAATATTCATCAAACCCATGTCTCGTATTGCTCACTTATATGGATCTTTCAGTTCTTCGGTAACGAAATTGAGGTAGCTATAGCCATTATATGTGAATACTCCAGAATAGAACGCCAAGGCAAGTCTGGAAGGACTAGTCTGGCTACCTGCCAGAAAATCCGGCATTCGAAAGTATTCGACATGACCTGGAATTCTTTTTATTTCAATGAAGATTTTTCGAAATTTGAATCCTGCTTACCCGTTCCCAACCATATCAGTCCAGCAATGATGATGCATGCCAACGCTGCTACTTTAGTCACAGTGAAGAAATTATTGAAACGCGTAGCAAGTTGTACGTTCCAAGAATTGATGAATGTCAGAAGAGCTGGAACATAAATGACACTAGAGTGTAAAAGAATCAAGAATGTATAGGTTGATTACGGTATTACAGATTGCCTACTTGACGCTATGCCCCTTGTCTTATGTAAAACACGAGTTAAGTATTAAAATCCTAGCTATCTCAAGTACCGTTTTCATAAAACCTGGGCAGTCGCTGTATTTCTGATTACTCCTGTCTTAAAATTCATTTTTACAATGAGCAACCATACTTCCACCATACTACCCCGATAGACGGTAGTGCAGACCGCATGAGCTTAAAGGCATTGGCTCAGCAGATTGACAACTTTGGGTTGAACATCGTTTTTGACTCGGATGAGCTGACAAGGGAACCATGTTTAGCCGAAGCGGCCTCTTTACATGAGATGTACACCACATTGAAAAGCATAAAATGCTGATTATAAATCAGCCTTCTTTATCTGCTTAACATTTGTGAACGAGGAGTCGCGAGCGTCTGTTGGAGCAAAAAATTCAATGTGCATTCACGATAAGATGGGTTGCCAAAAGTTTACTAGCCCTCATACAAAGCAACCAAGTGTGATATTTTTTCTTAGGCCCGTATGCACGTACATCCCCGCTGGGGAGGGGAGGGGAGCTGGACCCCCAGAGGATCGATCCCCTTCAATGAACCCCGCTATGTCAAAGGGGAGGGGAGCGATCCCCTCCCCTCCACCTATAGCAGGGATGGCGTTATTGCGGTGGTCGCTTCTACCTCACGGCTACTACAAGATCTCGCCGAAGAACTTTTTTCGGTCATTGGTTGTGTCACAGAATAGCTTTCGAAACAAAATGCACAAAAATACTGATTTCGCGTGCCTTTGTCTTTCTCACTCTTCTCCTTTCACCCCCCCCCCCATTGCATGTCTCTCTTTCCCCATCGCTCTCTTTTTCTTTTCCATATTACTGGTTTCAAGGCTTCTTTATTCTCGTTACCTGCCGTCAGTAGTAATAGTGATGATTTTTGAAGTAATGTGAGCCTATTTTGCACTTCATGTTATGATTTTCCTGCAACTGTGTTATGGCAATTTACTTCTCTTACAAAATAAGTCGTGTAGGTGCAGCATTTTCCAGTTTCCGCGGTTTTTCAACGTTTGCCAGCATTTTGCGGTATTCTTTCGCAGCCTCAAATTCAGCATTTCGTTGAGGTGTCAATCGAACGAACCCCACTGCGGATCCTTCCCTTCCCCTCCCCGTATGCGCGAATGTAGCTCAACAACGCGGGGAGGGGATCGACATCCCCGCGTTGTTGAGCTACATTCTCGAAGTAGGGGTTGGCTGGTGTAATCATGCTAGAGAATCGAATATTCTGGTTTCAATCAGTTATTACGAAGCATTTCGTTCAATTTGATGAACGATTTTTTTTTGAAAGCCGGGTTCCTTTCTCCAACCTATAGCTTGTAATCTTGTCTCTTTACTCTATATTCGCTTCTCGAGAAGAAACCCGAGCATGTAATAGCTGCCAATTTGAATATCTGTAGGAGTTCTTGATCATGCAAGAAGTTTGACATGATATGATACTTTTAGCCATATAAGCCGATTCATTTAACTATCATATTACATGATATGTTGTCTTTATTTAGTCATCTTAACCTGAAATGTCTTGCAAAAATCTGGAAAGTAGCAGATTTGCTTATTTCTGAGTAGAGATCTTCGGGGGAGTGATCCCTCCCCAGCGATCCCCTCGTGCATAGCAGGGATGGCGGCTGGGGATCATTCCCTTGGGGGGATTGGACGGTATGTCGCTAATTGCTACAGCCTTCATGGAGAGCTGGCACGGTTTGCAGCTTCTGTTATGTGTAGATATGCTGGTTTTTTGAGTGTCCGCGACACACCCTCCCTCTTTTTTCGGCAGCTTAACGTCTTCTACCCATTCAACTGCAGAGACACCTTGACTTCTCTTTTGAAACACCTTTACGCTGGAATGGGCAGTTTGGGCGAAAGTAAGCAGCATTCATGAAGACAGCAGGTATAATGGGCATAAAAATGTTATTTTTGTTGCGCCAAGCATAATTACTATAGCCGCACATTCCGCAACGGCTAAAGTAATTCCAATGACAGAATGAAGACGAGTAGCTCTCAAATGGTGAGAACAGAGAGATAATTATCACAGGCGGAAGCGAAGTGATTTCCCCGCTCGATCCCCTCGTGCATAGGGGATTCACTTTCCCTATTCCCAAGGGATCCCTTCTCCGATATTGTCTTTGTGCATGCGGGGGTTCGTGTGGGGAGGAGAGGGGAGCCCCAGCGGGGATCGTTTCAATGGTAAAACGCACATCCCCTCCCCGCGGGGATGTATGTGCATACGGGCCTTAGAGTATTCATTGAATAAAGTGCTCTGATAATTGTGGCTGGTCCGTTAAAGCGCTAGAAAAGTAACACAAACATCTTTGTCCTACTTGCACATTCGAATTTTCGCACCAATAAACGCTCATAGCTCCTTGTCTATAAATGTTCCACAAGTAAGGAAAGCAGATGAGCATTATATGCCCTTCAATATGGTTTACATCCCATCTAAAAGACCACTTCGACTGACATGATTCCCTTGCGAAACTGAAGCTCTCCTGCAGCTTTTGAAGAAATAACTTGCTTTTCTGAACGTGAAAGTTGCTGTTGGGGCTGGAACCGGAAACCGGGTATTTTGCAGAGCGATTGGCTGCTGGAGTAATATTCCAAATGCCTTCGAGGTGTGTGGGGTATCCTCACCCATCCGGATTCCACGAGCCAATCGCTCTCTAGAGGGCGGGCTTTCGCTTCCTCCCCAAACAGCACTTTTCACGTCCGGAAGAGCTAACCTAATTTCATGCGCCTTGCAAGCAGGGGTTTTTTTCAAAATAGAACAGCACAACAACCGAAGGACTTCGCGACCAAAAAACTATTAGGTTGGTGCAAAAATGATGGTCGCTTTGCGAATTCTCATTTTGACGTGCTATAACTTTGTCAAAGATCCACATTTCCGAATGCGGTAACGATCGTCAGAAGCAGGAAGCCGTCTGCAATACAGAAGCACATTTACTTGCACACACACAAAAGGGCAGAAAAATATGGATTAAAAAACAGAAAAGGTTCTTCTGCTAGAACCTTGTTTTTGACGATTCATAACTTTTTTCAAAGTTTGTTAGTGTGAATGATAAGTAGCCTATCTTGTAGTCGCAAGCCAACTTCAAGAAATACGGTTAAGTATGCGTAATGTAGACAATTTCTATCACATACAATAGCTAATTTTCGAAGAAGTGCCAATGATAAGGGCTTGAATTCTGGCCAGAAAAGTGGATGAAATGAAGTTCTGATTTGGATGCGGTTGAAGCTCAGTAACTTTATAACAGACTAGCTGGCTTGCCCGGCTCCGCTCGACCCTGTCAGTTTGATAAAGGTGCCATCCCTATCCTGTACAAACTTTCCCTATGCCCACTTCTACGCGCCAATTCCCTGTTCCAGCTGTGTTAATAATCAACATCTCACTTACTTCTATGTGCCAATTCCCAGCCCCGTTGGAACCTTGAAAAAATCGATAAAATCGATGAAGAATTGATAGATCCAAAAGCAATCATTGTATTCGTAATCAGCATGCTCCTACTTCCCCCCCTTGCCAACTCCCAGTCATGTAGCTTGAAATTTGGCAAAAAATAATGGCCGACTTTCGAAGCCTTTTTCAGGGCAACTTTTTTTCCATCAATACTTCTTCTTTGAAATAGATGTAGTGTACCATCGAGAAGCTGTTTTCTGCTCCATGTAATGGCGTTTGAAGCGCTTCCATCCTCATTTTATATATATAGCTGAATGTGTGTTTGTATGCCTGTCTATGTGTACGTATATGCGGAACAGAATTTCTATTTCTGGACCGATTTAGACCAAACTTGGCGCACATGTACTTCGGGGTGGGCGAGTGTCATAGGCTCTTTTCGTTATCGATTGATATCTATTTTATCGATTTTTATCGATTTTTTTGCAGAGTTCACCTATGAGGTTGGGAGTTGGCAAAGGGGGGTAATCGAGCATGCTGATTACGAGTACAATATTACTTCCTAAAGTTATCGACCAATTTTGTCGATTTTATAGATTTTTTTCGAAAAAATCGATAAAAATCGATAAAATCGATATCAATCGATGACGAAAAGTAGCCGATGACACTCGCCCGCCCCGAAGTACATGTGCGCCAAGTTTGGTCCAAATAGGTCCAGATTTAAAAATTTCATTCCGCACCTAGGAACACACACAGCATACAAACACACATTCAGCTATATATATACGTTTCAAACGCCATTAGATCGAGCAGCTTCTCGATGGTACACTACATCTATTTTAAAGAAGAAGTATTGATGGAAAAAAGCTGCCCTGAAAAAAGGCTTCGAAAATCGGCCATTATTTTTTGCACCAACCCAATATTTACAGTGCTGCATATTGCTTAAGAATATCGTGCGGCATAATTCTTTTTTAGCCGCTTTTCGAAACACACGAGGCGACTGAGCGGCACGCTTGAAAAACCGAAAAGGGTGCGTTTACGCGTGAAATTAGGGTAGTTATCAATATTTTCAAGCAGCCAAGCACAGTTTTGGACTCAGTCCGTCAAGTGCAAAAAAAAGAGTAACCCACTACAATAAGTGGGAAGGGCGAGTTGAGTTTTGAAGCCCATTTTTTTAGCTTAAGGCAGGAATTGGCAGGTGGGGTTCGGGCTACAGTGTATTGGGAATTCAACTACCTAAATCCACTAAAATCCGAAAAGGGTTCGTTTTGCCGGCCCACTGCCCTTAACACTAGTTCTGGGGGACACTCCTGAGTTGGCGGATGCCGCTTAACTTAAGGGTGTAAAGAATTGTTACTCTTCCAGCAGCACTGTATGGTAGTGAGGTAGCCCACGTAAAGTACGAGCTTAGTGTGATGGAAACAAGGATGCTACGATGGTCTTTAGGCGTTACACTGAAGGACCACATTAATGACATCGTGCGAGTCTAAATGAAAGTAGCTCCAATTGCCCAGGAAAACAGGTCACGACGGTATGGACGTGTGCGCATAAGCGGGAGGTCCGTTCAGCATTCCGTTTTTAGCCCTAGCGATGGAGGCCCAGGTTGTCCAGCATTTGGCGGGAGAACAAAATCAATCCCGATAGAGAATTTGGAATGGATGGAGACCATGCCTCAGATAAGAAAACGTGGAGTCAAGGACACGAAAAGACACAAAAGCAGGTCCTACATAAGCTTGTTCCATGCGAGGATAAGATTACAATAGTGGAGCAGTACAATGAATATCTCTAAACAGATTATTGGGTTGGGACAAAAATTACGGCAAAGAGAGATAAACAAAGTGAGCATGATCCACTTGATTTCGGGAGCTAGAAGCTAGGGATTGAGCGTTTCAAAAGTCAGATTTCCGCTCAAAAATTTTGCAAACTTCCTGCTTTGCAGCATAAAGTAGACACATAACAACATACCTATACTCTTTGATTTAACTGGCTTGGAGGCTGGAAGGCGGGGCTTTGTGACCTAGTTGAAGCTAAGTAATGATCAGAGAGCACGCGCGAGGGAGAGACGCAGAATGCGTCGCGGGCGCGAGTGGCCCTAATTAGGTCACAAAGCCCCGCCTTCCAGCCGCCAAGCCAATTAAATCAAAGATTATAGAGGGTGGGGCGAAAGTCTGGGAGCCGATTTTGGTGTTGTAAATCTCTAAACTACTGATATTTTTAATTCCAAATCCAATTTCCAAATAATGCTGTGTTCTTACTCTACAGCGCAATTGATCTTCTTCTGGGCTCTACATATACACCGTATGGGGGACTGGGTAGCATAGATTCTGGGTGTATGCTGCCTTTACAGGGCTGCTTTGAAGCCAAAAGCAGTCTCAAAATTAGAGAGCCGCGCTGTATTTGTAAAGGGTCAATTTATGTGTGCACCAGACTTTTTGTTTCTGGGTACTTTCCCTTCTGATTTTATTGAGATAGTACTAGGCTCTTAGACTTTTTCCCTACCCTGTAAATTTGCTGAATTTTTTTTCAAATGAAATTAACGAACGAAAATTGTGTGTTTTAGCGAAAGTGATTCTATATTTTTCACATAGGGAGTTCCATGCAATGTTTGTGGAACCGCAGACATTATATTTCTAGCCTTTCGCAAGCACTGGTCAGCAATGGCATAAATCACTCAAAAGCACTTGAAGTTGAACTGTGGAAGAAGTATGTGTTTTATGTACGTTGTCATATGTCTACTTCATGATGACCGTAGATAGTTTGTACGACTTTTCCGGGCTGAGATCTGATTTTTGCGGTCCTCAAATGTGCTCAATTTTTATTGGAACCCACGTGCGTCACGGTTCTAGCTCGAGTTCAAGGGTCACCTTCATAAAATATTCAAAGACGGGTTTTCGCTTTGCATTAGTCCTGTTCTTTTACAGACCACAGAAGCAGTTTCTTTCAGAGTTACATCAAAGATAAAAGATCGATACATACCTATCGCACAAGCTGCTAAGAGAGCCACAGCTTTTTCTGGAACCTCGCAGTTTGGAAACACGGGCTTTAGAATGTAATTCGCAAATGTGAGAGCAACAATAGCATTTGAAGTCGGACAGATTATCACCAATGACACCCATAAGAAAAGAAAAGATGGCAGCGGTCCAAAAGCCTAAAATGGTTGCCATCAAGTCGGGATTCAAAGAAAAAATACATTGACATACCTCGTTGATATAAGCGTAATCCCCACCACTTTTTGGTATGCGAGTTCCTAACTCGGCATAGCATAATGCGCCAAGCATGGAATATACTCCAGAAAGAAGCCATACTGACAGCGATAAACCAACACTCCCGGCATCTTGCAAAACTCCTGAACTAATTATTTTTCCGTTGCGAACCTCTGTTGGGTTCTGCTCACTGACCTTTTGGACTGACAAAGATTCCGGAGCCGACGATACAGCCAACGACGATAGCACATCCGCTGAATAAAGATATTTGTGGCTTTAGTTTAACTTCTGAGCCGGCATCAGAAAACTTTTTACCCATTCCTGAAATTTTAATAACTTATCCTGAATCTGCAACTTAAACTGCTACACACTTTTATTACAGATTTAGGAAAAGTCTTCAAAATCTTGGGGGATGTGTAGTCAATGAACTAATATTAGCACGTCTCAGGCCTCGAATATACCTCGCGCGTTTCTCCAAAATCGCGGCAATACGCGATCTGGCATTTTGCTAGATGTACCGCGCGCGGAATTCAAGTGTGTAGACGCATAGCTTCTATTATCTTGAGCATGCCAAACCTTGCTTACATAGTATGCGCTACGCAGGTTTACGGACAAACATAGCAATTAGAAATCGCGCGCCGACGAAGTGTGATCATAATCGACTCACGTTTCTTTGCTTTCTTACTTCAAAACCTAGTTTTTATAGTAATATGATTTTTCTTGACTATTTTTCAATGTACAAAAGAAAGCCCGCTTCTCGAGTTCCTTATGTATGCTTTTTCGCGAAATTTTGTTCATTCTCCCGTGTTTTCAAAAATAAGATAGCAGAAGACGAAATTTCTTTGGCTTACACATTTATCCACGAAAAATTGAAATTGTCGAATTTGTTTCCAAAACATGCATAATGGTTTTGGGTCTTATGCTACAATGCATGGCATCGAACTTCAAAAAAAAAACTTGGATAGAGGAATTCGGAACCGAAGCTGGCTTGGCTGTTTTTGGTGTGTGTGGGGGGGGGCAATGCTGTATAAAAATATTTGGGGAAAAGCGATTGTAGAAGCTGTTTAACTAAAGTGGATGTACATATATGATTGAAATGTTGCAGGCTCTTCTTGTTTCTAGCCGAAAAAAATAAAAACTATCAAAAAAATGTGTAGTCATAATTCTTTTTGTTTGCAGTATTTCCTGGCAAAAATAACCAATCCAGAATTTACGCACTGCTCTACCAATTATGGATTATACAATGAGCAAAGTTTGTTCCTGGTAAATCTGAGGGTAGCTTATGTTCATTAAAGGTTTCTAAAAAAATTTTTGGCAATTTTTGAGCTAGGAACTCCTTCTCCTAATGGTTACATACAAAGGTAGATATGTGTTGTATGGACAAAGGTTTGCTGCTTGCAATAGCTTTCATTGCATTCAGAAAGGAAATTCTTCAAAAGTTATCTTGATTCAAAATTGATTTTCCAAACCTATGAACCTAACAAAGTTGTGAGGGAAGGACGTGAGACTTTGAGTTACTGCCTTTTAAGAAGCACATGCTCAAGAGCCTTAAGATCTCTGAGCCATTTTTGCAACAGAATGATGCAACAAAACCGATGATTTAATGGAAAATCAGAATACTAGAAACTGCAAATGTGCCGAATGTACTACGAACAAAGCGTGTTTATTTATTTAGTTTGCCCTCTGTATTTGCAAAAGTTGTACAACTTGAGTGAGCCCAGTATTTCAAATGTTTGCATTTGTCATACCTGATGACATATGTACTCACACATTCTCTTTTATTCATCCTTTCCGCAGTTCTACGGCTAAGGGACGGGCAATCGTGGATTTGGCATAATGTAGCTGTAATTACATGGTAAATACAAGATATTTGAACGCACCCTGGGAAAAAGGTAAAAAATTTGAGGCTACGCTCATAGATAGTATCCAAGCAAATTCACGTCCGTGCTTTCATTTTTGGAAACTGACTAAGTGCTTACGGCTGAAGGAGCCACCAAGTAAGCATGGGCAGAGACAACTCCGTGCTCTCACCCAGGCCAAGTTTTTTCCGAGAGGACCAGTCGGCTGCGGTGCTAGGCAAGAACTTAGACACGAATTTCTCGTCCATGAGTGCATCAATCCGACTGCCGCTTCAGCAATGCCTTAGTTAGGGCCTTCTTTGTCAGCAATTATTAAAAGGCCAGATACCGAAATTCTAGCTGGACACTGTCTTCGAAAATATAGGGCACTCGGAAAATCGTGACGCTGGCGCGACCGAGCGCGACACGCACGCATACCCGGCAACCGCGATTTTCTTGGTTTTCATCTTTACTCGGATGGTTTCTCTGCTTACATATGATAGCGTTCAAACAGTGGAAGTGACTGAACTGAGCGTTGAGGTGTTGCTTTTTTGTATAAGTGTTTCTGCTCCTGTAGGCGCAAAGGCCGCAGTAAAATCCGTCGTCAAGATTTTATAAATGACCTATAGCTAAAACTTGATGATATCTCCATCATGCCGTCTGCCACCCTAAATAAATTATCTCTACTTCATCAGAAAATTGCAGAAATATTTGCATACGTGTTTGCACACTGGATATTGCAAAAGTCCATCCATATGACCACTTTTTTAGTTCATCAAATATTTGTGAAGGAATTGTACTTATACACGTATGTAATCATATGGCTTCGAATTCCACGAAATATGGGAGATATTGACCTTCAGAAATCAAAGATCAGATACGTATTTTTGGAAATTTACGCGAAGTGACACTGCGAATTTGGATATACTTTATGGTTGCTTTAGATAATGCCTCAGATAGAAAGTGAGGGAAAGAAGAGGTCAATGTATTTTTGTAAGTTATAATGCGTTAGCCACGCACCCAGAAAAATTTCTTGTTAGGCTTCTCAAAATTTTCGCGGACCCATAACCCCAAAATTTGAAAAAGGGGGCGTGGCGTCAGCCACGCCCCCGAAAAAAAATTTTTACAAGGCTAAAATGAAATTTTAAAAATTTTTAAAAATTATTTCAATTATTTACAATTATAAACAAGTTACTTGCACATTTTTATAACCCATATAAGTAACTTCCAAAAATTTCGCGACCCATTCTCGGGGGGGGGGGGCCTCGGCTACCAGAGAGCTCCAAAATTGCCCCTTTCTGATGCCCTATTTTGGCAGACATAGACGAGTGCCCCGGCGCTAGTCACGTCGTATGCAACAGGAAACCACGTCATGTGCAGCAGTGCCACATCACAAACTATGCGTCCGACGTTCCTTGTCATGTCAGAACACGTCACGGAGCAATCTGTGGGTGGGTGGAGCGCAAAAAAGGTGGCGTAGCGCAAAGAGAATCCAGGCCGATATCTTCTTTTGTAGACAACATTAGAAGACCAGATCAACGCGAGTAGTCTACTTTTAAGGCCTGGTAGTAGTATAAGTAGAAATTTGGGGTGAACACATTTTGAGTGGACGCTGCTTTTGACACATTGATGACCATGCAGATTTTTAAGTGTCTGCCTTTCTGGGACCAAGGCCTTTTTACGGACCAGCCCATTTTTTCAACTATAACTTCGCATACTGCCATGTACAGTTACACCTACAGTACATCTGGAAGGCTGCAAAAAAGGTAGAAGTCATACCTAGTTCTGTGCAAAAGAAAGTTCATGGAGTGATTTTATTTCAAGATAGTAGTCATTTTACCAAAATTCAAGCCTTGACACACATGGTGTATCAAGCGGTCCCACGCGGTAGTTATTGCTTGACACACCATGTGTATCAAGCAGTCGTCAATTGTTATTCAACACATTGACACACATGCTTGACACACCATGTGTGTCAAGCAGTCGTCAATGTGTTAAATATTAACTATGTGCGGAAGAGAGAGTACAGCTATTACAAATTTTCGCTCATTTGCATGCAACAGATTTCGAAGAATAGCAGATTTAGTCTAAAGATGTCTAAAAATCCTAACGATCTAACAGTAGTACGTGACTGTTTTTTTGGCACTCAAATCATGACTGTCTGCTACACTGAAAAATAGCTAACAACTATCGTAAAAGCTGAGATCGCTTGGACAAAGGAAATGCGTGATTAGATTTTGGTGTTACTGTTTTTTCCATGGACTGTAAAGGCAGTAGCGGTCTTGAACTAATTTATTTATTTTTTTAGAAATTCTATTCCTCATTGGCATTAGATTTCTTGCGTGATGTCTGTACGCTTCAGGGTAGAAATTTGAGAACAGTAAATTCTCATTCTCGGCAATGACAATCATCGATTAAGCGCTCACCTTGACGGCAATCAGACAGTCATTAAACAGTAGAAAGCGTGGATAGTTAGACTGTTGGACAAACACACATGGTTAAATGCATTGCTTATTTACCAATCATTTTGCCCAAAAAATTTTTTAGTGAGACGATACCTTTAATACCATACCAATACCGTACGTACCCCACGACTCCTTGTTTATATTCAAAGGCAGCGTTCGGGCAAGTTTTCAAATGGTTTTTTTTTCGCTTACCTGGGCTTATTCCTCCCGCTGATTTTGAAAATGCAGTTTGGAGGGCCCGAAAACGCCGAAAAGGGCTTTTCCGGAAGCTCTTGCTTGAACTTTGTCGCCTGCCGCCAAGGTCAAGACGCAGAATCTTTGTGGGACCCTACGTCTTGACTGTGTGCGGTATGCGCACTCTGGCCTATCGAACTAACTCGTCCCGGTCGCCGGGGCATTCCTGTCGCCACTTCTGGAGCGGATTTCTCGGTTCACAAGCAAATTGGTGCATTGCCAGTTGAGCAAAAGCCTTATTAGGAAGCGCCCCTGTACTCTACATTTTCGTATCTGCCAGAACGCAGCCTTATAAGGAATGCTCCTTGAATTGAGTCCACAAAGCCGTGAGCACTGCAAGTCTGTATCTTACAAGCTTACACAAAAGTGATCGTATTTCCTTGATGGTTGAAGTTAGCATAAAAATTCCGTCTATTGGTTTCTCAAAAGTTTTTTTTTCGCTTTCTCAAAACGCAATTGTGAAAAAAAAGCTGTACAGCTTCTCAAAATGCTTGAAACGGCTTTTTCTCCTCTTTTTAATGCTCTTTTTGACAAAATCTTTCAAGTGCTCTCGAATAATTGTGCGAGTTCATCATTCCTCTTTTTCACTACACTCAGTTCAGATGTGTTTCAAATCTTTCATGACAACTTTTTGATCTTGGGCTACTTGGAAATACCGGGGAGGCGGTCAGAAGGCGCGATTCCTTCAGAGGTCACCATTTGACAGCCCAATTCAAGAGTCTATCGAGAATATCATACAAAATGCTTTAGCTTACGAAGGAACCATGTTAAGTCGAAATGGC